GACATATTATCTTACATACATATCTTATTTTAAAATGTTGCCTCTTATTTTTTAACAGTTAAAAATAAGACTGTAACTTAAAAGGTAGGTTAGTAGTAGTTGGCCTTTGTCATCTGATTGTGGAAAGATCAGATCAGCCTTTTAGGGCACCTAAAGAAAATTGGGCCTTCCTCTCCCATAAAGATTATATTCAACTTAAATATGTTTTATACTCCCCAACTGTCACATTTGGAACTAGAGTACTAAGCTTTGGGAATACAGTTTTTCGATGTAATTGCTTGGCCAACGCTCCATAGTGGAAAAAGCTGCCCCCTGTTATAAACTTAAGGCTAGAAAACTTTTTCTTCTAAGCACTGAAATAAGCTCAGTTATTATCTAGTATATAATAATTTTTAGGTCTCTTCATTAGGTAAATCACTCACATAGCAGATGAAACTCTGTAAAAGCTGCATTTTCCTATGTGCCTGTGTTTCTTAGCACACACATAATGTGTAGCAGTGCGCTGTTTGCTGTAGGAGGGCCATCCCCCTTTAGGAAATCATTTTTAGTGATAAGGTTGGCTGGGGATATTATTAGGTATTTTGTCTTTTGGTCTGCATCTAGTAAGTAATCTTGTATTTGTTATAGAACCATTTTCTCTAGTGACAGAAGTCAGGCAGCACTAAAAAGTTAACAATGTAAGAGCTTCCTTTTTGTATTCAGTTTCCTATTACTTAAAACTTAAAGTGGTACTCTTGATTTCCCCACTCATTCCATAGCCTTTCCCATCTTAATAAATAGCACCATTATTAACCTAGTTGCTCAAGTCAAAAATCTAGGAAGTAACCTTAATTCTTTTCCATCATTATTTCCCATATCCACTCCATCAGTCTACCTCGTTCTCCTTTTCTTCCAGAAATACTGTGTCAGTTCTGTCATCTAGCCTAGTGTTGTTAACTGGCTTCTTGCTTGTTGCTTTTGCTCCAGTTATCCTGTAATCCATTCTTGGGCTGGGAGTCTGTCTAGCTGAGTGGTAGAGGGCTGACCTAGCATGTGTGGGGCTCTTGGTTCCATCTGCAACTTGGAAGGGGAAAAAAAAGAAAAAGACAAGGATCTTACCCATTTTCTACTCACTGCCAGGCTGGTCCTTTTCAAATATGAGTCAGAGCTGGAGGTATAGCTTAGTGTTAGAGCATGTACATAGCATGCAAGGTCCTGTGTTCAATTCCCAGCATCAGAAAAAAAAAAAAAGTGATGTATTCGCCCCAGCTTAAAGCATAACGGCTTTCCATTACACTTAATATAAAATTAAAGCTCCTAGGTAGACGTAGTAGCATACACCTGTAGTTCCAGCTACTTGGAAGACTGAGGCTGGAGGATTGAAATTTGAGGCCAGGTTGGTAAACAGGGCAATATTCTGCCTCAAAATAAAACTTACTTTAATAAGCGCTGGAGATATAGCTCAGTAATGGAGCACTTGCCTAGCATGATCCGGGTCTTGGGCGCAATCCTCCTACCAAAAGAACCAACGTTCTGCAAGGCTTAGGATCTTATCCCTGCCTCCTCCTAACCTTTTTATATTCTAAGCACCAACTACACTGGCTTTCCTTTTTTTCTGTCCCTTACACTAAAGCATTGCCTGTCTTGCTTTAGATCTTGTTTGCATGTCTTCTCAGAGAAGTCATCTTCCTGGCCCCCATTTAGTTTCCTAGGCCTCCTCTACCTCATCATAGTCTTTTAATTTCCCATAGCATCCCTCTTAGTCTAAATTGTTGTGTTTCTGTGTTATTCCCTTCTCAAAGCCTTCATTACCCTATGAGAATTGGGACCATGTTAGCCCATTTTACTCTCCTCAGCATCTGAAACATACTAATACCTGAGACATAGTAGGTACAAGGTATGTATTTGTGATTAAGTGATTTATAAGAAAACTAATTAATTTAAATTTATGTCTGATCTTCCCATTTTCCCATGAAGATTCAGAGTGCCCAATTTAACAGGTGAAGATTTAGAGTGACCAATTTAACAGAAAATAAAATGAAGAAGATAGTAAACTGGCAAAAACTAGAGTGATCTATTGAGTGTGCTAGAATAGTATGAATTTCAGTTTAATAAACTTAATTATAGGCTGGCACACACCTGTAATCCTAGCACTCAGGAGGCTGAGGCAAGAGGCTCTCCAAGAGTTCCAGGCCAGCCTGGGCTACGTAGTGAGTTCAAGGCCAGCCTGAGCTGTATAGTGAAACACTGTCTCAAAAAGACAAAATAATAAAATAAATATGATTATAAAAAATTTTTCCCTTTGTGTATATGCCTATACAAATAGACCTAAAGATACTTTCTGTTCTTTTATAAACTATTTGGATCTTAATGGTTGGTAAATTATAGGCAGTTTAAATTCTTATTTCTCTAAAACAGTTCTCTTAAGTTTCTCTAAGATTTTAGAACATCATTTCTAATTAAGCAACCTAGATACTTTCACATTTTAAATATTTGTTTCCAAAGACATATTCTGACTACATAGGCAAAAGTGAGTTTTAAAATATTATTTAAAAAACATAGTCTAAGTAATATTTTGAAATTATAAACATTTGTAATGATTGTCCAGAACGGGAACTGTATTTGTATGATGGGAAATTTTTAGTATACTTTTAGACCCTGAAGGTACTAAATAGCTGGAAGTGTTCCCATTCAGCTTTTAACTGCTTGGTATTCTCAGAAAAGGAAAATAATTAATTTGCCTCTAACACTTTTGGATGTGATACTGTAAAGAAGATCGGAGTTATAGTATTGAGAAACACACCTGTGAATTTGAGTTTTATAAACTTATGCTGTACGGTCCATATTTCTTTCAAATTTTACCTTATCATCTATGCCTTTTCCTCTACCTCACTGCTTAGTCTGATGAAAGGAATGGGTTATTTATTAGTGTAAGCTAGACATTTTCATTTTTACATACATCCTGGATATAATTTTAGGTGGAGGGTTTTTTTTGTCTTTTTGAAACAGGGTTTTGCTATGCAGTTTAGGCTGGCCTTGAATTCACTTTATAGCCCCAGTGGCCTAGAACTCTTGTATGTCCTTCTACCTCAACCTCCACAGAGTGCTGGGATTATAGGAGTGTGCCACCACACCCAGAGGTTCTTTAGCTAATCAGTTTAAGTAATTTATAATATTACTTGAGTAAAGTAAAAATACCATTCATAAATACATTCATTTTTACATTTTAGTAAGTGACTAATAGACTTAATTGCTGTGTATTAATTGTCTTACTAGTTGAGAAGGGGAATAGAAGGTAGTTTACGGGGGTGGTGGGTTAGGTAAAACATTGAGCTACATTCCCAGCCCCTCCCTTTTTTGAGGCAGGGTCTCTCTGAATTGCCTAGGCTGGGGTAGAATGCCTAGTCTTCCTGCCTTATCCTCAGAATACTAGGATTATAGCATGTGCCACCATGTGCAGCTCATTTAGCTACTTAAATCTTCTTAAACCTACGGTGATACTAGTTCATGTATTTAATCTTAAAAGGCCCTGACAGAAGCAGGGTGTGGTGGCACATGCCCGTAATCCCAGGCAGGAGGACCACTGAGTTCAAGGCCAGTCTGCACTGCATAGTGAGACCCTGTCTCAAAAAAAAAAGAAAAGCCCTGACGTCTCTGTCTAGGTTGCTGATGCCCTACTGGTGCTCTTACTATGTGGATGTCTGTTGTGCCTGTGCACACTGAGAGCTCCAAGTCTGTTGCAGGACCTGGGCTCTCACTGACGTGCACTTGCAGAAATTGTGACCCTCGTGCCAGGCTGCAGGGATGCTGCATTGGAGAAGGAACGGAGGCTGGCCGTTAAGAAAGTCTGTGCAAGTGTATTCATTTCAGAGTTCTTGTGCTAAGCTGTGAAGATTCTTTAAGGCAGAGCCAAATTTTATTGAGATTTTACAACCAAAGAGGAAAAAGTAGTTTATGTTGGTAATGGCTTGGCATGACACTCGGTCGGTAAAAATTGGCTCTGCCATTGCGGTGATTCAGCCTGTTCTCTAAACCTTACACTCTATTCCCCTTCCTTCAGCTGGGCAGATACACACTAGTCTGTTAGTTATTTTAATTAGTAAAATGATTTAATGTGATAAAAATACTGAAATAAAATTCAGGTTATAATAACACTTTTTACTTCTAGGTCTTTAAACAAAAGCAGATAAATTTTCAACAGTGACTCTTACTCAACCTCTTCATATTTTTAAACTCATAAGATTTGATGTAACATTGTATAGAAATTTATTTTTCAACTAGGAGGTGATTTGAGCATAAAAAAGATTACAAAACACGGTTTTTATTTATTTTTCATTTTTTTGCAGCTGCTGTTGCTTTGACCCAGGTTTCTATAGGGTTACTGTGAAAGCTAGAAAGGATCATCTTTGGTACCTCATATGTAAATGAAGTTGTCTTGCGAAGTCATTGACTAGTACTGAATATATCACATTCACATAGTAGCAGTAGGTTGAGCCTTCTAACCCAAAAATCCAAAGTTTGCTCCAAAAGTCAAAACTTTTGAGCCATAGGCATGACATCATGAAGGGAAAATTTCACACCCGCCTTCATGTGACAGTTTGTAGCCAAAAGAGAGATCCACTAATACTACTATGTAAGGTTACTTTCAAGCTGTGTGTATAAAGTGTGTTTCATTTGTGAAAATCAGTGAATTTTGTGTTTGTACGTGGATCCTAGCCCCAAGATATCTCATAAGTATATGTAAGTATTCTCAAATCTCCAAAGTTTCTCTGGTCCCAGGCGTCTCACAAAGGATGCAAACACATAACCTGTCTGAACCTACTGGCTTTCATTTTATTCTTCTACATGGATTATGGCCCACAGGCAACTGCTTGTCCCTTCTGAGTCAAAGGCTATTCCCCAAGACCAACATAAAGGCCTTAAAGTATAGTTTTTCTGGTTTTGAAATAACTTCAGCCTCTTTGGTTGTGATTTATGGTCTGCTCTTATGTTTTCCAACTAAAGTACTTTTCTTTACCTAGGTTACTCACTATAAACAATATCCACCCAACACAAGCAAAGTTTATTCGTACTTTGAATGCCGTGAAAAGAAGACGGAAAACTCCAAAGTAAGGAAGGTGAAATACGAGGAAACAGTATTTTATGGGTTGCAGTACATTCTTAATAAATACTTAAAAGGTATACTTTTCCTAGTACATTTAAAATTCTGCTTTTGTGTAACTTCATATTTTTTCCCTATATTTTCATACTCTGTTATTTGAGGTAATTTTTGAGTAGTCTGACTTTGATGTCTCATTACTTTAACTCAGTGATGGTGAACCTTTTAGAGCTTTCAGCGATGCAGACAACCTGCTGCGGCACACATGCCATAGGTTCTCCACCACTGGTTTACTTTGGAGTTCCTTCGTAAATACTTTTAATCTGTTAATCTGAACATGTTAAACCTTAGAATTTAGTGTGCATATTTGGTATTCTAAGTATGAGAAAGGTTTTCTGAAACTGTTAAGTTTTGGAGTAAAATTAGAAAAGTCAGTAGTACTCAGAGGCTAACCTAATTAGCTAATATATTTTAGTGATCAATTTAAACTTAAGGATTTGTTTTTTACCTAGAAATTCATTTTGAATTATGATAGAATTATAACTAGCATAGTTTTATACTGATCCATTTTACAAGAAAACCCAATGATTTCTGTGTTTTTTTAATTTGAAAGGCCATTTTTAGTCCATTTCATAATGGTGTTTTTACAAGAGAAAGAACAGTTCCCAAGGATCTCTTTTTTTTTTTTTTCGGTGATACTAGGGATTGAACTTGGGCCCTTGTGCATGCTGGGCAAGCACTCTACCACTCAGCTACATCCCCAGCCCATCCCAGAGATCTTATACATCTTGGAAGTTTTGAAGTAAAATTAATTTCAGAGTGAGTGTGGACCAAGTTTAATTTCATGGAAATGGGAACTTTTCCCTAGTCTATCTGTTTTAAAATCAGATAGTTACACTGTACGGTTGAAACCCTTGCCTAGATATCAGAAGATCTACTTTGTGGCAGGACTGTCCAAGGTAGTTTTAAATGAGTTTACTAGTCACCTTGTATAGTTTGCAAAGACTGATGATACATTTTATTTATTTTTTTATTTGGGATCAAATCCAGAGCCTCACGCATAGTAGGCAAGTGCTCTATCCCTCAACTACATACTTAGCCCTTGATGGAATATTTTAATTCAGCTATACAGCTTAAGAACTTGGTAAAATACATGTGGTTAACATAACTAAAACATGAAGATTACCCACTCTAGAGCAGCATTATTGTAGATGGTTCTGGGCTTAAACTCATTTATTTCTTGCAGCCATCCTATAAGCAGGTACTTTCCCATTATGTTTATTTTACAGATTAAAAAATTACATAAAATTGTATAGGGGGCAAAAATTTAGTAATTGTAAAAATTACAGGCTTACCAACCCTAAAGATCACATCCTTTATGGGTAAAATGGAAAGTTTCACCTGGAAAATATATGAAGTTTTTGAATCCTGTCTAACATCTGAATGTATACTTTATTGATTTAAAAAAAAAATGCAAGTAATGCTTTTTGTTTTATGTTACCTGCTTTTAAAATAAGTTAACATGCTTCAAGTGAGTGATTGGAAGTATAAATGCCTTTTCTGACTCTGTTAGCTGAGTCATTTAACCTCCCATTATTTAATCCATAGAATGAATAAAATAGCTAAAGACTTTAAATTTATGACAGTTCAGCAATTCAAAGACTCTCTGTAGAACTTGAACCGGACATGTGTATCCTTTTAGGTAAGGTTGTGACCAAAGAGAAAATCCAGGAAGCCAAAGAGGTGTACAGAGAACACTTCCAGGACGATGTCTTTAATGAAAAAGGATGGAACTACATTCTTGAGGTAAAAAGTAGTTTCCTGTTTTGATATGTTTTAGTTCAGTTTCTTGCAAAGGCAGTTGAATAGAGATTGGTCTCTACTTATGGTCTGAATGTAATGGCTTTTTTAGACATTCTTGTAAAAAGCTATAGAATTAACATTTGGGGTTTTTTTTCCCTCCTAAGTCTAAATCATGACCATATAGAACCTGTAGAACATCTAAGTAACTTGTTAGATAAAATAACTTGAATAACATTTTTCAGGAAAGTAACTTAATCCATTCTTGAAAATCCACCGAGGAACATGTAATTATTAGTGAAAGACCACTAATAATTTTTAAAAGGCCATGGTTGTTTGACAGTTTCAAAATGTATTTCTGTTTCCTTAACTGAAACTAGGTGCTGTGAGTCTATAACTATGAAATAATTGTGGAAAAGTTCACTCACTGAATAATTAAAATGGTTTGGTACAGAACCGTGAACTTAATTTTTATTTTTTATTTTTTATTTTATTATAATATTCATATCTAGTACATTTGAATCTTCTGCTTAAACTTCTGAGCATTCAAAGAGATGAGGGCTGCATCGTAATGCTGAATGTCCTTTGCTGGTTTCAGTAATACAAATGGAATCTGCTGACTTCTCAATATTAAGTGTTAATTTATATCTTGCAAATGCACATCTTACATCATATAATACATGCATGTATTAAAATAACGAGTTCTAGAGCTGAGTGTGGCGGCATATGCCTATAATCCCAGCACTCAGGAGGCTGAGGCAGAAGGATCGCTGTGAGTTCAAGGCCAACCTGGGCTATATAGTGAGGTGAAGGGCAGCCTGAATTTATAGAGTGAGACCTTATCTCAAAAAAACAAGAAAAAAAATTAAAATACTGCGTTTTCCTCTTTGTTCATGGGTCTTTGAAAGAGTCAGGTAGACACATCATGCTGTGTAGTTAGCTACAGATTTTAGCTGAAGGCAAGGTGGGGAAGATTCAGTTAAATGCATACGAACATACCATGCAGCAAGATAGCCCTCAGCCTAAGTGTGGAGGGAACCTGTTACTTTAATAAGAAGTTACTGAAATCAGATTTGGGTGTTGATTGCCAAGGTTCTGTGATTGGCCTGTCTCATGGTTGCAGTCTACTACAAGAATAGACATCACTCACTGAGAGTCTCCTGCAAGGATTTGCCTCTTTTTTTTCTTTTGTTCTGTTACAGCAATCCCTTATTTTATCCATCTTTGGCAAGTGTTGAATAACAGTAGTGTTCTTGGAATGTTTTTAGAATACAGTACAATGAAATAAAACTTCCTTATTTTGTGAAAGGTCAGGGAAAAACTATTTCTGATCTGTTTGGAATTATCTCTGTCTTCTCTGGTCGGTATCCTTAGGAGAAACACTTGACAGCATTAAATTTAAAAATCAGCGTCAGTGCCTAAATTTTTAATAATTGTAATTAATTTTAGGAAGCTAGGGATATTCTGATTAGATTATTATTGCTAACCATATAACATCGACAACTGCAGTTTCCATAACAGCTTCTCTTAGGGGTAAATAATTTTAAACAGCAGGGCGTACCCTGTGTCAAATGAGTGAATTCATTGTTGTTTCCTACCAGAAATACGATGGGCATCTCCCTATAGAAGTAAAGGCCGTTCCTGAGGGCTCCGTCATTCCCAGAGGAAACGTTCTCTTCACAGTGGAAAACACAGACCCAGAGTGCTACTGGCTTACAAATTGGATCGAGGTGAGTAATTGTTGCTGTCGTTGCTTTTCTTAATAATAATTGATGGTAAAGACCATTTAAACTAGGGTTCTAGTTGAGAATCTGCTACTAATAAAACTGCAATCTCCTGCAATTTACTTAGCTTTTCCACCCCTCTGTTTCCTCATCTATAAAATGACAGTTGGACAGTTGAATCATTAAGGTTCTTTCCAGTGAAATCTAATGTTCTGTGATTTTATAAATCAAATTACTACTTTTAAAACTCAGCTCCCTTTTTATTTTTGTTCTAAATTATATTATCTTAGAGCAAAATTAGGAAAATAGCACAGGTATATTTTTAGTAACTTAAAAGACATTTTATGGCTATTCTGTTCCATTTAGACTAGAAGAACATTGTTCCAGCTTTTAATAACTACTTCATTCTCTGATCAGTTTCGATCCTGATATTTTTCAGCTTCTCATCTAAATACAAACAAGATTGACTATTCATTATTGTTTAATTTCTAAATATAGAAGAAAGGCATATTCTGAGCTGTTGGTTTGCGTTACAAGGCGGTTTTCATTTTGTATATCTTAAATAACCACGGGCTTTTCAAGCAGTCCCTTACGTTGTGGTAACAGTCTATTCACCTTCTCAGCGATGTGGTGTGGAGTCTGTCTGTAAGAGGAATACCCTAGCAAAAGCCTAGAAATACCTTTCTGAGGAGTGTTTACTTAGTTGTTCCAACCAACTCTTCAATTAACCGACCAAAACAATTTATGTTGTAGACTACTACATTTAAGTTTGACTTCCAAAAAAAACTGAAAAAATTGGAAAAGTAACAGGTCCAAGAATATGTTTGAAGTACGTGTTACTAAATTACAGGAAATGTAAACATTATTACACACTTGTTAGGCCATCAGCTATTAACAGGCCAATTATGGGCTCAGGAAAAATGGACAGATAATTATAACACTTTAAAATCATCTATACTGTATACTAAAACTTTAGCAGAACTCAGTTAAAAAAATACATATATATGTATATATAATTAGTTTTGTACTGGCAACTATTTGATTTTGAAGGAATAACATTGCAAAAACACAAGCATAGAAGAGCTTCGCTGTTATTTTGATGGTACCGGGGACTGAACCAAAGGCCTTACACTTGCTAAACCTGCTTTTCCCTCCCCTGCCTTAGAGTCCTTAACCACATCTCTAGAGTGGCCTTTTACCTTAAAATCCCAAAGATCCTAAACAGGAGGAAAATAAATTAGTGGAAGATAAACTTACTTTCTTTTTATTTGTCAGACAAGATTTCATCAGTAAGGACTGTTGCTTAATTGGGGTATCCTAAAGCAAATACTAGTAAGTCTGTTACCATTCCAGCTTGCTTCTTGTCTAAAAGAAACACTGGCCGGGGCTGGGGATTTAGCTCAGCGGCAAAGCACCTGCCTGGCAAGCGCAAGGTCCTGAGTTCGGTTCCCGGTACCGGAGAAAAACAAACAAAAAAAAAGAAACACTGGCCTTAAGAAATTTCTGTGTTTTAATAATTATTACTATTTTTGGTATATTTTACTAAGAAACCATAAAGTAAACAGTGTATCAGATGTCTTACACTGGTAGTTTAATTCTCAAACATAAATCCAATATGGGACAAATTTTGTTTAAAAAATGTCTTTGCGCCCTTGCTTTTAGTTGCTTATAACCTAAAACAATTTATACTGGGCTGGGGATTTAGCTCAGCGGCAAAAGCGCCTGCCTGGCAAGTGCAAGGTCGTGAGTTCGGTTCCCGGTACCGGAGAAAAAACAAAAAAAAAAAAAAAAAAACAATTTATACTGACTTTACCATATATATATATATATGTTTTTAAAAAATCATTTCAGTCCCAAGTAGGTATTTTTTATCCAGCACACAAGAATTTACGGTCTAGTACTATTCCTTGTTGTAATTTCTAGTCAATCCTATCTTTAAAAAAATATTATTCTGAGTGCACAGCTGTAGAATAATCATCTTCCTAATCACTCTTCCTGTTTCATGGGATGTTTTTGTGGGGGTAGAAGAAATTCACCCTATTTTTATTAATTCCCAACCTTAAGGTTACACCTTGTATTTAAAATCTGTTACCAGCTCTGACACATTTGTTTGCAAACTTGAAGCTATTCCTAATTTAAAACACTTTAAATAATAGCACTAAGTAGTATTTCTTTCAATTCTCCTTCCATTTGTACTCGAAGTTATTAATAACATTTCACTGACTGTTATTCACCCAATAGAAGGACACTGAACTTTAAAACACACTAAAATTACTGAGTTGCTTTATTGTCAGTATTAGTGTTAGAGGACACTTTAGTCCTCCCATCATATTTCAAAACAAGAGAGCCTAGCAGTTCTGCCAAAAGGAAAGGAAAAAAGATGACTTAAAAATGGTTCCACTGGTGAAATGTCATTTGACGGATGAGGAAGCTGAGTCCTGAGAGGTGAGCAGACAAGCGAACAGTATAGGTGCAGCCCTTCTTCAGTACCATACCAGTTCTCATTCTGTGAAACCCTCATTCTGCACAGTGGCATTACAACAGTTCTGAAAAGAAATTTACAGGTTCACTTACCTCAGTCTTAGTTTTCAGCTAAGCTTTTACCTTGTGTGGCAAATTGCTGTTTCAGAAAAGTTTCCAACAAGGCCTACTTCATCAGACCTTGGATTAACCCAGACTAACTTGCCTTTCTTTCCCTTGCTTACACCTACAGTGATCTTTTTAAAAGGGGAGTGATTTTGTTAAGAGTGTAATTTAAGCTGATTTTGTTGGACTATGGAAGGAAATGTGATGTGAAGGATCACTGTGTCTGATAGTTATTTCTCTCCTTCCCTGGCATTTTTCGAGGGGTAAGGTCAATCTTCTACCTTTATAACTCAACTAGAGTTTTCACATTGTTTTATATCTTAATGATACTCCTACATAATACTGATATCTGAGTTGAATGAAAATGTGAGAATTGATTGAATTAAATTCAACACGTGCATGTTGAGTATATAAACAGTGTACAAAAAATCGCTAGGCAAAGAAATTAACATAAAATTTGTCTTAACTAAGAGCCCCCAGGGTCAGGTGGTAATTCATTCTTAACTTACATCTAACGCCATACAGAATTTATGCTGCGTTGGTACCAGAAAAATAGGTAATGCTATCCAAGGAATTATGAAACAGGAAATAACTTTTAATAAGAGAGATACAGAGCTAAGGCATAGCACAGTGTGTTTAGAATGACATATAATTCACTGAGCGCTGCACTGTAAAGTGTTATAGGAGACAGAATTGAGGTGGTGAGCTCAGCAAGCTTACAGAAAGCCTCAGTTCTGTTTGAATTAGGCTTTCCTCCTCATGAGCAGGAAATGGCCATTCAGGGCTTTTTAAACATGATGCAGCATGAATAACACAGTGGTGTCAAGTAGAAATATAAAGAGTAAGTCACAGAAGCCAAAGATTAGGAGGAGAATTGTGGTCACTGGCAGAGGGATCAAAAAAGAATTTCAGGAGAATGATCAGTATACAGGTAATTGAGTTACGAGTTTCATCAGCTTCGTGTGACAAACTACCCCAAAATTTAATAGCCTGACACTACTGTTGTTTCTCGTGAGTCTGTTGCCCACTAGTCTGCTTGGACTTCTCCATCTCTGTTTGGCCTTGGGGTCAGCCAGGGCTGGGCAGCCTAAAATGGCTCACTCCCATGTAGAGGACTTCAGCTCAGATAGCAGCAACTGTCAGGCCTCACTCACCGGACAACGCTTCTTCCCAGCGTGTTAGCTCTAAGAAAATAACAGTGGAACCTTCAAAACCTTGAAACTGAGGCTTTGAAGTCACACAGCGTGATTTCAGCCACATCATTTTGGTCAAACACAAATCACAGAGATAGCCCTGAATCGAGGGTGAAAAAGTAGACTCCAGCCATATTTAACCAGTAACAGGAGTCTAATGCTATGGTATTTTTCTTTTTAGCTAACCAGATTGGTGAGCCTAAGGTTAAATAATCTTTTTATTTGTTTTTACTTGTTTTATTTACTGATCACTTACCTGGTATTTAGCAGAAGCTTATTTTGTAAAATTTAAGAAATTAAGTATCTTTTTGGTATAGCTCAGACGTTGTCATTTCAGCTAACATTTAGATTGTTAGCTATTCTAAAATAGCTTTGAACCTGCTTCTAATCACATAAGGTTTATAAAATAATGATCCTAGAGTGGAGAAGTAAATTCCCAAGCCAAAATAATTAAGGTGATTGCTGTGATTGAACATTAGACTTTCATTGGAGTTTCCCGGCAGCCGAGAAAAAAAGAAAAAAATCAAGTAGATAAAGCAGGGATGGGGAAAATACAAACCTAGCATTTCTTCCACCTCATTTGAGAACTTGTAGCCATTGGCATTACAAAATGAGACAGTCACTTTGTAGTTGTGTGACATAGGCAGAAATGTTTCGTGTGGCTTTCTTGTAATAAAACTTCAGTTAAGAACAAAGATAGGGGCTGGGGATTTAGCTCAGCAGCACAGCGCCTGCCTGGCAAGCGCAAGGTCATGAGTTTGATTCCCAGTACCAGAAAAAAAAACAAAAAAAGACAGAAAATAAATAAATAAAAACAAGGATAAAGCATAAGTCACTAACTAGAATTCTTTCATGCCAAGAATGACGTATCTTAAGTATGTGATTTTGAAGTAGTCATACTAGATCCAGGACTACCTAGAGGAGGAAATGAGTAACTTCTTTAAGCCAGTACTGTTGAAGATGTGGCTCATAATCCAGTGCAGTTGTGTGACCTGTTTGGTCCACATTAAGGGAAGAAATCGAGAATAAGCTTTTAGACACTTGGCAATTTGACATTGCCGCCACATCCAAGTGTAATTGAACTTTATAAAATTATCAATCCATGGAAGATTAAAAATTCTTTTAAAAGTTGATCCTTTACTAGTTTTTTCAAAACATTATTTGCCTTTTTGAAGCTTTAAATAGAAACATGGTAATTTGAAGTTCTCCACTAACAGTGGTTTGGCATGTCATCTTCTTTGTTACTGCTTTAAGAGCTAAGCTGTGTGCGGTATCCAAAATGCACAAGTCATACATCCTGCTATTCAGTGGAAACGTCTGATAGATATTTTCGATAGTGTGGAAGTACAAGATATCTCCCCAGGGAAAGCTAGGATTTTTCCCCAGAAAGAGCCCCGTATTTTATGTGTTAATTTTTGTGGTTGATTTTGTTACTACAGACTATTCTTGTTCAATCCTGGTATCCAATCACAGTGGCCACAAATTCTAGAGAGCAGAAGAAAATATTGGCCAAATACTTGTTGGAAACGTCTGGTAACTTAGATGGCCTGGAATACAAGTTACACGATTTTGGCTACAGAGGAGTCTCTTCCCAAGAGGTAAGACACTGAAATGAACCTTGTTGGATAAAGTGTGGATTGTTAGAGTAGTGCTATATGTTTTTCAAGATGTTACTGGGATTAATTTTGGTTCTAGGTAGGCCAATTTTGAAATTCCAGAGATGCAGTCAATAAATACATACTGAGAACTTACTGTGTATCACCCAGTGTTCCAGGTATACTTTATTGTATGTCCCAGTACTTTAGACACTAGTGGAGGGATGGAAGGAGAGAGAGAAAAATGGGCACAATATACTTATCAGATGTTAAATAATGCCGGAGAGTAGGGAAGGCAAGGAAAGAGAAGAGAGTAGAAACAGGGTGGGGTACATGTGCCACTGCAGGCTGCTTGTTACCATTGAAAGCTCTAAAGATACGTCATTACTGTCTGCAGGCAATGATTCTCTCAGCGGCTATGCTAAATACTTTCAATATGGGTTTTTCATTTTCTTTTTTGAACTTTGACTTACGTTAATTTTCAGACTGCTGGCATAGGGGCATCTGCTCATTTGGTTAACTTCAAAGGAACAGATACAGTAGCAGGAATTGCTCTGATTAAAAAATACTATGGCACAAAAGATCCTGTTCCGGGCTATTCTGTTCCAGCAGCAGAACACAGGTAAAATTCTATGCTTTTATCTTGTGTCAAACAAATATTTTGATGAAAGAGGAGTGTAGGAGTGTGTTCAGGGAATAAAATAAGCATGAAAAAAGATTTTGTAGAGAACATAGAATATGGTTAATGAGAGCCTTCATACTCGTTTTGACCTTGAGTGTTAACTGTGTGCACATCATGCTAGCTTATTCTTAATCAAGCATTTTCAAATGGGAGCAAGCCCTGAAGTTCTTAAGCAAAGAAGTTACTTTCCAGAGATATATTTTAATGTTTTGATGGCAGGAGAGCCAATGAACTAAATAAAGAAAAAACTGAAGCTAGGAAATTTACAGCAATTCTGAGGTGATGATATCTAGAGCCAAATGTCGAAATGAATGGGAAAAAAGTAGATAAATATGAGCAATGGCTTAGGAGATAAAATTGCTAAAAACTTGATCTTAGTTGGAGTTTGGTAGAGAGTAGATTGAGCTAATATTTATGAGCACTGCTGTATTGGTAGGGCCTGGTTGAACATTATTACATAAAAGGTTCAAGATTAATGGATAGAAAAAAACTAAGGGCATTGTTAACACATAAGCTTTGAGATTATTTTTATTTTTGACTTATGTTTATACACCTTCTAAGAATTTAGTGTTAACCATATACTAGGCTTTTCAATTATAATTTGGTTTCTAAGCCATAGCATCAGTACACCTTAAACCTGAGGATAAAGATGGTCTCATCTTCAGGGCTTTGTGTTCAAATGAAAAGGACACTGTGTAGCACAGGATGAAAATTCATTTTCTATTTATGGTCTTATACTATGTATTATGTTTGAATATTAATATATAAGAATGCTTTAGATATTCTTAAATAGAAATATCTTTTAAACGGCAACAGTTAGTAAAAAAAACCATTAGACTGAAAGTTGAGAAATGTGAGTGACCTTACAGCTGACATCATGGGTGGCCTTGAGCAAGTCCTTTATCTCCCTGCCCTTCAGTTCCTCCATCCAGCCAAATAAAAGAAGGAGGGAAAAGTTAAAGCAGTCATTTAATTTGGTGTGTGAAATTAGGGGAATAGCATGTGTTGAATTCATTAATCAAGCAGAATAGTCATTTATGATGTCCACATTAAAATACTTTTAAGAATAAGTGCTGTAGGATTTTGTGGAAGAGGCCATGGGACATGTCTGTGGCCTCCTCCCTAACAAAGTAGCTCTGGAGCCCAGAAGAAAAACCTGAGCCACCATACAAATACTGGAGACTCTCACTACGGGGGGATTTTTCACACAGGAAAGGGTTACGGGGGAGACAAGCGCCCCAGTGAGAGCAGCGAGCACTAGTAACGTGTGACAGGTTAGAGGGTGGAGACCGCACCGAGCGGGGAAGATGGAAAAGGAACCTAGCAGTGGAAAGGGCGTTGGAATGTGGACAGTGTCACTGACAGCAGGAAAGAAAGCTTTGGGAAAGTTCACATACCATTGGGGAAAGCAAGGAAGATGAGAACTAAACATTGATGGCTGTTTGCTAGAAATACACACCAGTAGCAGAATAAAGAGGACAGTAGCAACTCTGAATTTGAAGAAGGGGGCTTCTCTTTGTGTATATCTTACTTTTCCTTTTGGCCTGCAGGTGCTTACATGAAGCCAAAAACTGGCATCAAAGCCATTGGCAGCCTGTATAGTTTCTCTCTCTTTTTTGAGACAGAGTCTTGCCGTGTAGCTCAGGCTGGGCCCAAACTCATAGCGATCCTCCTGCCTCAGCCTCCCAAGTGCTGGGATTACAGGCATGCACCGGCGTGCACCACCATGCCTGGTGTATGTAGTTTCTACCAAGAGTATTTACTATCAGATGAGTTTGAGGTAAATAGACCTTTTCTGGGTTTCAGACAAGGGCAGTCTCTGGGTCACTATATCTTCAGAGTCCTGAAGTGTACCTGCTCACCTGCTATCAGTCACCATATGAGAAAAGTTTACTGCAGTCCTTTAGGAAAAAAGTTTGTATGAAATAGCGGATTCCAACTTAAATTAGTATAGTTTTTCAGGTAGTTTTGATATAAACTTACATTTACATGGGCTTTATAATGAATGGGCTGTCATTCCTTATTTAACTGAGAACAGGGAAAAGGCCAAAACTATAAAATTAGTGGGAAGAAAAGTTGATTGGCCTAAAGAAGTAGTTACAATTTTCATTCTTAAATTTTATAAGACTTTTTAAATTATTTATGTTATGTATTAATTAAACAACAAATATTTAAAATTACTCATTTGATACTAAAGTATTCAGTAAAAAAAGCCATTATTGAGGACTTTTGAAAAGTGATAGTAGCCATTCTTGCCTAATACTCTAGCCTGTTTATAAACTGTCATACTCTAGTCCTCATCTTAATTATGTTTTCTCAAAGTAGACATTAAAATTCCTGTTCCTTGGGTGTGTATGAATAGTAATTTGTAAGTGAAATGACTGCCTATTTCTGGCTATTTAAAGATATAACAGGCAAAGAATTAGTTGACTATATACATGAGTGGTATAGTATAAACAGTTGCTGTAAGTAATTGTCTTTAAGTGTAAGATTTTATAAGCTAAAAAAGCAAAATGATGCCGTGGTATCGCTGGTGTCTGGTTTCCAACACTCGCAGAAGGGAGCCCAGCACCTGCAGTGCCTAACAGAGTGAGGGAGTCCGTATTCTAACATCCTGGCACAAGCTGTGGAAGGCGTTCAGAGCTACAGAAGCAGAGTAAAGTCATCGTTAAAATTTTAATTGGTCAAGTGCTGGTTTGGCCGAAACAAGCCATTTTCCTTGTGATGTGCACCCATTAAACTAAATCACTCACCTTCTCTGTGACGCGGGTGATGTAGCATAGGGAACATAAGATGTGGTTAACAGTGCTTCAGCAATAGATAACATACCTGCTTAAGTAAATCTGCGTTTTTACTTTGTTTTCTAGCACGATAACAGCGTGGGGGAAAGACCATGAAAAAGATGCTTTTGAACATATAGTGAAACAGTTCTCATCAGTGCCTGTGTCTGTGGTCAGTGACAGCTATGACATTTACAATGCGTGTGAGAAAATATGGGGTGAGGATCTGAGGCATTTAATATTGTCGAGAAGTACAGAGGCACCGCTGGTAATCAGACCCGATTCGGGAAATCCTCTTGATACTGTATTAAAGGTAAATTTTAATGTGTAACTTGATTGTTAAAATGCCTGTAGACCAAGTATATTGATAATACTCTTAATTTAATTTATACACATTCCACGCCAGTACTTTCTAGACTAATCTCCTTATTTTTTTAGAAATACCTCCCAGAAAGAATAATAAATTTGCCCAAGTTCACACAATAATAGCACAGAAAGGATACAAAAAGTCATAGAACATTTATAAACTTGTCAGATAATCAGATCTACTGAATGTAGGTCTTTCCTCCACACCTTCAAAATTAATAGCATTACCATTTTAATAAATTCTGCGGGTTGAGTCACCAAGTTTGTTGTGGTTTGTCTGTTTTCTTTAATCACAAGTTATTGTTATACCTTCGAAGTTGTTAGTACAGAAAATATATGTTTGGGGTTATATGAAGTAAGTAATTTAAAAAATGCTTTTCAAGTAGTGGTTCTTTAGAAGTGCTGGTGATTCTTAATATAGCTATCAGTGTTCGCAGTTTTTTTGTGTTGTGAACTTGATTTGCCTTCTTCAAAAAGCAGTAATCAGAGGATTGATATTTACTATTACAGAAATACTGTGTGAGGTGCTCTTCATTAAGATATGTCCTCAAATCTCATCCAAAAAAAATTTCTGTAACAAATACAAAATTGGCTGTTATAAAAGAAAAAACAGAGGCTCAGAGAGGTTAAAGTGACTTGATCAAGTTCACACAAGTGCCATAAAGAGGCTAAGTATCCAGTGCAGGTCTTTTGACTGTAGCCATCATACTTTACCGCTGTTTCACAGCTAAAATTACCTTTCAGAAAGGTGAGAGAGGTACAAAGCCTTTCTGATATCAAACAGTAAGCTAATTTGAAGCTCTTATCATAGCCTGAAATAGTTGGTTTTAACAAACTACATAAGCTTAACATTTTTTATTATCTAAAAAACATACTACTAAATACAGGAACAAACTTAAGTCACTTACAGAATTTTCTCATTGCTGGAATCTTATAATCAGTTTACTTTGGGAACGAAATTGATTCTTGGGAAATCTGACAATTTTCCATGAAATTTTAGAAGTATTTTAAGTATTTCAACTGCTATGAAACTTTCATTAGTGAATGAACAAGCAGGCTGGTTTGCGTATTATGCAGTTTGGCTTAACAGAGGAAAGGAGAACTTGAGCAACTATGTGACTATATATGTTTCATTTCTAGCTTTGTCAGTTTCCTTGATGTTTTTGATTTAAGTGGGCTGAGTTTTTATTTGAATTGGGCATAAGCAGAATAAATGCAAGTCAAAAGTACAGTCATGACTTTAAATTTTAAAATGTTTAATTTAACATTAAGGATTTTTTCACTCTTTGTAATTTCAAATATGCAAAGGGAGAAACTTGTTTTAAGTCAGTTTATGGTATAAATTGACTTACTATAAATAGTCTGCCTGTCTCTGGTTAAAGGGATTGAAACCAAACTTTTCATAGCCTTAAACATAATAATGTGTAATTTTTAAGTAATTAAATAACTGAATTTTTATATTTACATGATTGTTTGACAAAGTAAAACTTCTTAGTTTTTGGAAAGCTTTTACATTTTTTTCTCAGTTTCAGTTATTTGTGTTGCATGTATGCTCTCTATTACAGGTTTTAGATATTTTAGGTAAGAAGTTTCCTGTTACTGAGAACTCGAAAGGCTACAAATTGCTGCCACCTTATCTTAGAGTTATTCAAGGGGATGGAGTAGATATTAATACCTTACAAGAGGTATGTGTTTTATTAAATTAGTTAAGCTCTTTTTACTAATTTGATAAACAATACATTAAGTACAGTTGTGGGACTTATTTTAAGTGTTTGTTGTAGTACATTTAGAAGTAAGAAGCTGGATGTGGTGGCACACACCTGTAATCTCTGCACATGGCAGGCTGAGGCAGGAGGATCAGTGAGAGTTCAAGGCCAGCCTGCACTTCATAGTGAGACACCATCTCAAAAAGACAATAGTTTTAGCCAAAGTGTGCTTGCCCCTCATTCAGTACCTTGGATAATGATTCTAAAGATGTCTCACTAATGTCTCATTGAACCATAATGTCAGTCAAGAAATATTCCTGTAATATAAAATAAAAAGTTCGGACTGCTAACGTAGATCCAGATTAAAATTTGGTTATGTTAATGGGTGCTTTTTCAGAAATTATAAAAGGGTTTGTCACCTCTTTTAAATTAAGCATTGACTGTCATCAGTAATATTGTAAGATTCAGCCGAATATATTATACTATCTTAACTTTTGCTTGTTTTGTTTTAAAATAAGCTTTTTAAGAGCTATAGTTTCATTTTAACTAATACTTTAAATATTCCATAAAATTAAGAATAACATAATGTGGATGCTATCGTAAACCTCTGACATTTTGATGTATCCCAATCTATGTGATAAAGAGCTGTATGACACAGTTCATTAGAGGATTTTCTATTTGAAAGAGATTAGTATGGTTAAAATCAGTACCCAGATTATAAATTTTCCATAAGTTGATTTGAAAATGAGAGCTATGATGTATCACAAACTATTTCTGTGGTGATGTGCTTTTGTGGAATTCCAAAGAGAGATTCTGGAATGGACCTGTGTTGTGATAACGGAAGTGAGATTTCTTCACCAGCTCTCCCAGACTGCCTTAGCTTCTCTAAGACACTGGGTATTGGGACATTAGGAACTTTCATATGAAAAAGGAAGAACTGGAAGTCTGTAGTAAGGAAGTGGAGATCCTTTTTTTCTTTTCATTTGCTTTTCTTTTGGAAGTACCAGGGCCTTTGCACTGAGCTACATGTCTTGCCCTTTTTCATTTTTGTTTTGAGACAGGGTCTCACAAGTTCCCCAGCTTGAGCCAAAACTTAGTCTTCTTCCCTCAGCTTTCTGGAGTGCTGGGGTTACAGACGTGCACCACCGTGCCCTACAAAAGATGAAGCATCTTGAGTAAAGAAATCTCTCAGCCAGCACATTTGATTGCTATTGCCCTCTTCACTCAGCTGAACTGACAGTTAACTTGCCTTGCTACCTTAAGAACCATTGCCCACACCGCCATTTGAGACACCCTGGCAGGGACTCCCACACATGCTTCCCCTCCCTGGAAGAACAGGCAGAGTTTTGTACCCATCAGCAGCCCCATTCCCACTACCGTGCCCACCTTCCTTGGGTCGGGCAGTCAGGTACTTAAACCTCTAAACAGCAAAGATCTTTGGCTTACTCTTCTTTCTGCCCCGATCCCTTGACTTTAGAGTAAAGTTTGAGAATGTATGCATACTTTTAAAGTTGGGAATCAGCGTAAAAGTTTGACTTACTGCTTCACCACATAAACAGAATGAATCCTGAGACACACTCTTTAGCATTGATGGACCCGTAAGTAGAACAGTCAGAACTGCATAGTTTGATGTTAATGCAAAGGCACTCATGGGATATCTGAAGAATATCTTGAAGAAACAAGGTCTATAGATTTAACTCAGAGGCTAGAACTTGATTTCTTCATATTGGAGGTCAGTAAACATGTATTTTTAGAAGCAGAAGCAGTCACGTAGCAGTTTTGCTTTGTACATATGCTAAATTAGATGCCTGGATTTTCCCAGAGTGAAAAATCTGATTTATTTGAAGCAACTGCACTCTCAGTTTGACTGTCAGCCTCATTCTTAGGCTTTGCTATTCACGAAGTCTCCCTAGTGACATCCCTCAAGGTGTACCGTGGAACCCCATTCTCGGTTTCTGTGTTCCATTGTGTACCAAAATGAGCCTGTTCGTTTAGGAAAGGAGGCCAAAATCCTTTCCGTATTAGACAAAATTTAAAGTGTCTGTGTTTCTGATAGGATTCAGTCTCTGTGGGTGTCACTGGAACATCTCCATTGGAATAGTTCGTTAATGACATTAAAGTAGCATTCAATTCTCAGAGTTAGCAAGGGGAAGACTGCTTTAAATTCCAAAATATTTTCAATGTTTTTCTTCCCAGGCTTAATCGTATCTTAATATTTTATGCATCAGTCAATAGTTTTTTCTTTCTTCTAGCTATCCTACATTATTTTCCTGGAACCCTTTTTTCTATATTTCTTGGAAATTTCCACTAAGCATCACAACTTTGGTCCAGAGACTTAGTAGAAGACATTGGTTTTGTGTGTGTGTGTGTGTGTGTGTGTGTGTGTGTATCACCATAGAACATTTTGCAAAAGCACTTGAACATTGTAACACAATTCACATGAATGGTTGTTTCAAGAAAAATTAAATTCTAATGGCATAATATGGCTCCTCAATTAGATATTTTGGGAATAAAATATAAAAATAGTACCTAAGAGTGATATTTTGTCAGTTCATGTCTAATCACATTCCCTTCTGTTTGTGTAAATGTTGTTGAATGATAATTTTTCCCTACTTAGAATTACCCATTAACAGAAAAATTCACTTTAGCTCCAAGCTGCCTTTCTGTAACTTTTAGTGAAGAAATTTGGCCGGAAATACAGCAACATATTAAGTGATATTGTTGTCATTCCCTCATTATGGTGCTTCTGAAGCATATCTAAAATCAGGTGACAGGTCTGAAGCTATTTTCTCTCACATTTACTCAAACCGTTTTATTCTCCATCTGTTTCCCTTTCTTCGCCTCCTTTTTTCTACTTTACTTTTTGCAATTTTTTCCCATATTGAAATTCATTTTGTTCATTCATCTCAGTAAAAAATAAGTCTATATTCAGATGCCTTGGGTTCAGGCACAATAGTAAGACTTGAGACTAGATTTGTGTACAACCTAAATTTTAGGAATTACTTTAAAATAAATTGAATATGTTTCCATATTGATTCTTCTACTTGAAGATAAATTTTTATTCAAGAAGGAATTAGAATTTTAAAATGAGGTTGGATTATTTAGTGTATATATGTCTCTTGAAAGAATTATACTAAACAGCAGAACCTTGTATCATACAAATCTCTGTAGCTGGCTAGATAATCATTCTCCCAAAAATATCCAATGATAAATCTCCTAGAGCATCTGCCCATAATCTTGTTCATGACCCTGGAACACCAGACAGAGTAAAATGACTCTACCAATATCACAACTGTTTATGTAGGAAAAAAGATCGTATTTTCTTTTGCCACTAATAATCATTGACTCCCATGCCCATTCCTAGTGGTGTGCAGTATGACCTGAAACATGGTATGTGCTGTATTATTACGTACAGGTGAATAGACTCATTCCTAGAGTCCAGTGATTGGTCCCAATGCATTTGGTGCCGGCATCTGGGCAATAACTTAAGGAGGTGGATCAGAGAAGTTGACTCAAGTTACCTTAGATATTTATAGGCAAGTTCCTCACTCCACAAACCCAACCATAATGACAGCAACAACACAAATTCACGAAATATGTATGAAATCCCCTGCTTCCACATATGTCCATCTTCAAATGCCTTTTTGGGGAGCAAATAGGTCTTTAAAAAGAATATATGAAATATAATGCTGTAGACCTTACACATCTCATTATTGACTGTTAACAAAATATCTCTAGGATGCTTCACTCATTAATGTTTTCCTTTGAAATTAACCTCTGTCCTCTTCCAGATTACTTAGGTATTGTTTGTTTTGTTTTAATCCTCTAGATAGTAGAAGGCATGAAACAAAAAAGGTGGAGCATTGAAAATGTTTCTTTCGGTTCTGGTGGAGCTTTGCTACAGAAGTTAACCAGAGATCTCCTGAATTGTTCCTTCAAGTGTAGCTATGTTGTCACCAATGGCCTTGGGGTACGTCCTTCAACTTTTGCTCCTCTTGTAGCTCCTTCTTTCTGTGTGTAGGTAGAGTACACCTACTAAATGCAGCAGTCAGAAGGTAACATGGTCCTAGACTATTAGTGTGTTTTCAGGTACTTGTGACCTTGACTTGGAAGCATGGAAAGAAAGATGTTAAGTAATAACATGATGAAGGGGGAAAAAAGAGACTTTGAAAACAGAAAAAGCAATAAATTGAAAGATTATTTCAGAGATAGTTCATGTCAGTCATTTGTCACTGCTTCACATTTGAGTAGGAACGTCAGCTAACCTGGCTATCCTGTGTCAAAGATAAGCAAGTATATAATCACTTTGAGGAAAGTGGAATGTGAATTCTGAGTGTGATAGCAAAGTCATGTTTAGTAGCATAGTGCAGCTGGGCAGCTGAACAACCATCCCCCTGTTCTTTATAGTGCCCCCCTCAACCCCAATACTGGGAATCAAACCTGGGCTGGGCTTGAACTTGAAGCCTTTCTGCCTCAGTTTCCCAGGGTGCTATGATTATAGTGTGCACCACAGCACCAGTTCTTCCTTAGCCACTTGAGGGTGTGGAGTCTGTAAGCAGTGAGTAGGGGAGGCTGAGAACTCTGCAGAAGACTTGAATTAGTTCTCTCTCTATTCTGCATCTCATTCCACTGTCATTGCTGGCAGTTTCCGTTACGTTTTCTCTCCTACCTTATGATCCTGAAACATTCTGTTCTCTTCAGGTTCTCTAAAGTCTTTTCCTCCACAGTACTTAGATAACAGTAAAAAATAAACAAACGGAAAAGTTATGAAATGGGAAAGCCTCTACCTTAGTACTATTCTCCTTCTCTCTTTTGTTTTTTTGCAATAGCATGTGTGTAGTACACTTAGTATCCATTTAGAAACATTTTATAATACAGTAAAGGTCACATGTTAAAATTTTCAAAGATGTCTTACAAGTGGACTATTAAGTGTGGTAAGAAAGGATACCTAGTATTTGAGCTCTTTGCGTACTCTTTTTCCTAATAGGTAACTGTTCTTCAAAACAGGCTAAAGAGTTAGGTTTCCAAAAGCCAGGCATAGGTTTGTTCCCTTATACCTGTAAAGAACCTTAAAAGTTATATATATATATACATGCATATGCGTATATGTACATATACCTATATATGTGTGTGTATTTATATGTAAATATACATAAATGTATGTATATACTTTTTTGCAAGTGAGTGGTGAATATTTCTTGATTAATATTCTTTTTCTTTGTCTTTCTTAATCTGGATTTCAGATTAATGTCTTCAAGGACCCAGTTGCTGATCCTAACAAAAGGTCTAAAAAGGGCAGATTATCATTACATAGGACACCAGCAGGGAATTTTGTCACACTTGAGGAAGGAAAAGGAGACCTTGAGGAATATGGTCAGGTATGTATCGGTACTGATTGTTTTTTGTGATAGTTGATTGGCTCTCTAAATTAATAATGAGGTATTTATATTGTATTTTTAAATTGCTTTCAGAAAAATGTTATGACATGGAAGTAATTTCATAAAAGTACTGAATTCAAATAGTTTTCTTTAGTCTCATTAGATTTTTGTTTTCTCTGGTAGTTGTGGCTGGCCTTGAACTCACTGTGTAGTGTAGGCCGGCCTCAAACTCACAGCAGTTCTCCTGCCTCACCCTCCAAGTGCTAGGATTACAGTGTGCATGTGAAATTACAAACTTCTTGGTTTGTAAGCCACATGATTGGAAAACTCATTTTTATAGGGAAACTACTCATAGTCATATTCTCAGAAAAGTTTATACTAGACCAATACATGAATATCTTACTATTGTAATTTTTTCTATTATGCCAGATTTACTGCTTACAGCAAGTTGCTTTCAGTATATTTTTAAGTTTTTGAGCCAAAATTAATGAAATAATTTTTATCTTTAATGGAAATAAATTTGTAAATCAGACTTTCAAAGTTGGATCCTTTTACATGACAATTCTGAGAGTAGATTTTACTTAACCACGGCAGCTACCAAAACTTTGCTGAATTAGGTTCTCAGACATGCTAGTCACTAGAGACCCAGTAAAAGTAAAAACGTGAGAATGTGAATGATGCAGTAGAACATCTGAGACAGCAATCTTTGTATAATCATGCAGGCATTTTGATTAAAGAATAGCAACCAGGGCCCTCCAGCGGTGCAGTCGGTTAGTGCGTGGTACTTATAGAAGAATAGGAACCAGCATTCCCTGATAGGTTACATTTAAATTTATGGGGGGAAAAATGCAACAATTAATTTAAAGCCATTCAGTGACAGAGATACTAGATAATGTAAGTACCTTCAGACTAGAGGGAACATTGAAATTATTTCTGTAGGGGCTGGGGATTTAGCTCAGTGGCAAAGCGCCTGCCTGGCAAGTGCAAGGTCATGAGTTCGGTTCCCGGTACCGGAGAAAAACCAAAAAA